AGTAGTTCCTGACCCCAGTAACTCACATATGTCCTGTTCTATTGGTAAAGAGAAATATTAAAGCAGCAGATAGGTATCATTACTGTACAAGAGTTTTTTACTTTCACAGTACATGTTCTTATATCAACAACCAGCTAAATCACTGAAGGTAAAGAATGCGGACAGCAAAAATTTTACAGGCAAATGAGTCAACTTAACTAGCAGGAAACAGAGTGAAATGCCACTGAAAATTAATGATAAAACATTCCCACGTCAAAAATATGGCCAATACATTGGCTAGATACTTGCCTTCTAAGATCCCAATATTAAGACAAATGCAGACGGTTTTGCTGATGTGCATATTGCAATACTGAATTTCTTTGCAGAATCACACCTGTGGTGTTCTTTTAGTGAGAAAAGGGACGTACAAATTGATGCATAGTAGTCATGAAATGGATCTGTCAGTACGCTACATGGTAAAAAAAAAATCAAAAAAAAAATATCTCATTTTCTCTTTTGCTGCCTTGGAAGCCGCTGTTTGTATTCAAACTTAAAAACTGCTTCTGTGCATCTGTTTGCAATATCCACGTTTGATGAACACAGCGAGACTCGATTTACATGCTAATGCAACAGATCAACTCACCTGCTAACAAACGCCTTATTTGGGCCACACTAGTATGGATTGAATGACAGGTAGCTTTAATCCCCTGACAGCGGTTTGCAGAGCTGCTCAAGATTTGATTTCCCTTACAAATATCTCCCATCCAACTCTGATGATATATCACCATTTCCTAGAAATTACTGCTGAGTTATATTTATTTTTATTTCATATCTCATCCTTTTGTATGTTAAAAACTGATTAATTTTTCAGGATCAAAAGGTGTTTTTTTCCATGGAAGTAGATTTAAGCATTAACTGATTAACCATTGATACACTAGGTTTTTTAACAAATATCAGCTGCCTTTGCTAGTGCAAGAAGGTAGCATGGATTTCTTGCAAACATTTTTGTCTTAAGGCATTTTGAGAGCACCTAGGAGGACCTGCCTTGGCCAAGCCTGTATCAGGCTATCACCCGCTCCACTACGCTCATGGATCAGCACCAGAGAATTTCTAATAGCAAGTGGGATTGAAAATGTACACTGATGGCTAACTTGCTATGAGCTTACTTAAGGACTCATAAGCAAGTCACCATTAGCATTGGTCTTTTTAGAATCACTTGGTTTCAAGGTACTGAAGCATAACACGTTGCCTGAAAATAGAGAGAGATCATTTGTACACACAGGTTGTGAGCTGACAAGTCTGTCCTGCCCTCCATCCTAAACCACCAGCAGCTCCAAGCCACAATAGAAGAACCAACGTAAAAGGGTAGAGCATGAAGCCCTGCTGCTTTCAGAAGAGGGGGATGCTTCTTGTCAGCATGAGTGCACTATATTTAACTTTACTCTCTGTTTTTAAGATGTATTCATATTTTCTGAACTCACAATTAGACTTATTAGTCACGCACACCAATAGGAACTGATCCAGTACCCTGTTATCCTGTCTGTCCAGACCATTGTTTGACCTTTATTTTCTCTCAGACAGATATTGGCAGTACGTTACATAAATAAAATCTGGAAATGTACCAAACATTCATATTGACCATCTCTGTCCTTATTCACTTGCATTCAGTATAGTATCCCTGATCACGACAAAAAAAGCAGGAGAGTTCAGCCTAAGCCTGCAGAGAACAGTGGGAACATTCCTGCT